CATAGCCACAGGAGAGAAAAGATTAAGGGTATCAAAAGAATAATTTTTTCATCTCACTCCTTTCTTATTACAGTAGATTAAAAGAAAAAAAAAGAGTTTTGTTCAACATTCAATTTTTGAGGAGAATTAAATAAGCCTAAAACATTGTTCAGAATTAGAGTACTGAAGAAAGGATTTCAAAAACACAGTGTGTGGTTCATGGTGGGATTTTTATTTCCTTTTAAGATGAACCATATACAGCTGTACAAGAGCTATTGTCCACTGTCCTACTGAAGAAATACTTTTTTTCTGAAGTGTTCAATCTGTTAAGACACATAGGTGCTTTAAAAGCTTAAAAAAGAAGGAAAGCACTCAAACTCTCTTCTGGTTCAAATGGCAATTATCTGAAAAGCAGCATGGAAACAGGAATACATGGGTAAATTATATAGCTTTTGATTTCCTGGCTATGAATGATACAGGATTTTGTCCTCTTTGGGAATGACACATAGCAGCAAGCAGCACTAGCAAGACAAAAGTCAGCCCTGAAGGACTCGTACAATGGCAGCAATCTTACATAGTATGGATGGTTATTACAAGTCTGCACAGAAGCCACTTTCTTCTTCTAATGGATGGAAAAATGCTCCTTGCTGCTGAGCCATAAGGGGACACAATTGGAAGAAAACAAAACACTTAAAAACTTCCTGATAACTGGGTCTAGAAAGTCCCTTTTCCTTCTCTTCTTCAGGGATTGTCAAACACCAAGACTTCTACCCTGTCAACACAAAGACTAACAAAAGAAGAAGGCCAAAAGACCAACTCTAGTTTGCAATTCCACTTTTCAAATGAATGATTTATTAACAAAAGGGAAGGTTTCTTTAAGTAAAAAAGACAGAAACACAGACTTGGTAAGCATGGAATCTGAGAAAAACTGAATTACCAATACTATTAGGTTGTGTGCTGCTGTCATTCATTCTCCAGGAAATCCCATGCTCCAGGCAGATCTGGCAAAGCCAACCTCTAAGAAGAGAGAAACTTTTATCAGGGAGCCCGGAAAGATTCAGGAGATGAGTCTGCCTGCCTTGAGCTGGGAATGAGGCAAGTCACAAGGAACATGGTGATGAAGTTTCCAGTATAACAACTCTAGTGACTCAAAGTACCAGATTTCAGCTCATCTGAGTGTAAAGCAGAATAGTACAGGACTTGAGCCAGCAGTTGGTAGAATTGCTGCCAGATGTCTTCCTTTAAACTTCTGATGTTGACTGTCTCATTGCTCTGACAGATTATCTCTGGACAGAAGAAGGAAAAAACTCCCAAAACAACTTCCCCCATAAGTATCTGAGTTTGTTACCAAGAACTGCGTAAGTAATTTTTTGTGCATATACATAGCTTTGTCTAAGAGAAGACAACAGACTTGGAAAAAGTCTAAAGAGAAGGCAAATTTTGCTCAAGATCATATGCTCAGAGCTGTTACACCACATGCTTAGGTGCAAATGGGAAACCTGACTAGAACCTTCATTTATGAGGGTAAGTTGAGGTGTTGCAGCCATGGGAAGTATGTGAGAGAGGGTTTCTGGATCACATTCAGAGATTTTTCAGGCCATGCAGGTACACACTACCAAGACATACTAGGGTTAAAAATGAGCAAGGCTTGAGAACCTGTAACAGTAAAGGACTGACCACAAATTTTCATCAATGCTGCTAAGTCTGGGACAACTGAAAATCCAGCTTAGAGCCATTTCAGGTCTTTATGCAGCTGGCTAAAAAGTCTTCCATTCTATGACAGTTTGGGAATTGGTGAATTTATTAATTCAAGTTCGAGTTTCTGAAGTCCCTGTATGATTTTGTTTATAGTGATGGCTCTTCTGGTCTTCAAAAAGTTGCTAGGAAAGCCAGCGTTGGTGTGTGTACACACAGCTCAGACTGAGCAGGCTGAGGAACACGTGTCCAACTCAGCAGCCTGTCGAAGAGGGAGGGTCAAGTATGGCTGCAACAGCATAATCATAGAAACCATCTTGAGGAAGAGCTATGCCTTGCAAGCTAGCTAATGTCTCCTCTACTCATAACCACTTGCTGATAAAGCTACAGCATATAGAGAGCAGCACAAAGATTCTGTAAGATGTTAAGAGGGAAACCTGGCACTAAGGAATAGAGAGTAAATTCCTGGCTAGAAGCAAAAACCCAATCGTGTTCAGTTGGGCATGTTACTCCATATTAGGCAAGCAGGGGCAAGGACCTTGTCCCATCATCTGAAATCTCCACTTGCTCATTTGCTCATGGGGAAACAAGGAGCGAACCCTTCAGAGAGGCTGAAATCAGCAATAGGATTTGGGCTTCTGGTGGTGGTTGACAGCCTGCACCAACTGCTCAACTATGGTGGGGAGGTGTCCAAGCAGGGGTGTTCATAGCTGCCACTATTGCAGTAGAGTGGCTCCTATTATGCATAGAGAAGGTTCTTGTGCTCAAAGAAGTGCCCCTTAGAGGGGCTGAACCGGGGGGGTGGGGTGGGGGAGGTGGGGAAGGAGGAAGACCCTCAGTGAGTTTTTTTCTTTTATCTTGCAGATGAAGCAGATGGCAGGAGTAGCAGAAACCAAAGGAGGAACATGAAGCCTTTAAGAATCGGACTGCTAAAATGTAAGGAAAGATGAAGCCAAGAACTAGGCCTGGATAAACAGAGTACCAGAGTGGAAAAACAAGTACTGGAGGAGCTCAGCCAAAAGGGGAAAGAATACAATAAACAAGCTCAGTTCTTTAATTCAAAGTCCGACTCTGTGCTTTCAGGAGAGGAGACTTAGAGAAACTGAAGAACAGGCATTGAGTCTCCTTCATAGCTGCAGCTGCTCACAGTTATCTGCCTCCATGTTCCCTGGCAGACAGCACTGCAGCACCAAAAGCCTGCTTGTTTCCCAGGATGTGAAAAGAAAAAAAAAAAAAAACGACCAATGAATCCATCACAAACTTGCACATGCCAGTAGACACACACACATTGTCTAACAGGTAAGTAGGATCCTGCTATAGCATTGCCACAGCCTCCAGCAGCTTATGATGGTCTGCAGCTGCTCTGCTCATAGTGGGGGACACGTAATGTTCCCTCTGAAAGCCTACTTGCTCAAGCAGGGCTTTCTGATTTCTCTGGAGGGATGCTGCTGAGCCTGTATTTTAATTGGCTTTTAGGTCCCTAGACAGATTTTCATCAGGCAAGCAGACCTCACCACGGGATGCTGCACTACCTCCTCTCTTCTCAAGAGTACTCTCATTTTTCAGAGCAAATGCCCATAAAAAGGGCATGATGTCAGGCATACCATCTGCAGGATGTGCTGTGCTCCTCCATTACCAACCGCAGACTGATGGACACTGCTGCTCTATCACCCCTGGAGGAAGCATTATCAACCCCTTTCAAAACCCACTCCCCACTTTCAGTAAAGATCCTTTTGACACTTAGAGGAAAAAACACAACATTGTATTTGATTTACAATTAACAGGATTTACAAATAATGACAAAGAAACAGATTAGCCATGAAATTAGAATGCCTCTGTTGACAAAGTAGTAGCTGGCAAAGCACCTTTATGTAGAAGTCATGTATCTCAGTCCTAAACAATGTAAAATAACTTATAGCCCAGGCAGGTTCAGGAATGATTATACACAAATGCAAGGAGTACAAAACAAAACAAACCTGCCCCAACCTACTGGACAGGAAACCTGTTCTGGTTAGATTTTTTTGACTTTCAGAAACTGAAGGGAAGGCCCTCTGACAAATGCTAGGAAATTTTCAAAAAGGAGAAGTATCTGAACAAACAGTAAAAGTCACTGTATGACAACCCACTGGGCAGGGAGAGCAGAGACTGTGCTAGGTTGCTGAGAGTCAGCAGAGTCCGGGCGCTTGGCAGGACAATGAAGGAAGGAGTACAGATGGCAGTGCTTCATTCAAATGCTACTTTACTGCCAAAAACTTGCGAGACAAAGAGGAATAAAGTTCTCTGATGTGCAATATAGCAATTTAAGAAGACGTACCTAACTTTTTTATTTGTATGGAGCTTACCTATATTTGTAAACACACACTGTCTGACAAGTTATTTCAATTTTCTATGCTATGGGTTACGGTGTGTATTCAATTGAATGCAGCATTCCAAGGCTCAAAACTGACTGAGTGGTTTTCAATAGACAGGTATATCATTTTTCCAATATCATACTAGTATTTTACATCACAAATACAATAAAAACAAGTGATGGTATCTCTAGGACAGTTCCAAGATTCAAATAAAAAAATCATCAGAACCATTCTAAAATAAGATACATAATTAAATCATGTTAAACAGCACTCTCGGCAAGCAGCTAATTACAAGCATTCTGCTGGTCATGTTTTCCACACAAAAGTCATTCAATAGCACATAAATATTTCTTTTTCTGATCAGCTTCTTTTTACAAAACCATTCATCAGATTCACAGAATTAGTACAAGTAAGGCACATTAGCATATATCATAAAACTCACAATAATAACAAAGAGTTGTAAAGTTTTAAGGACTAATTCCTTCTTTGCAGTTATTTCTGAACTGAATAAGACTGTATCAGTAGAACTCTCCTGCACTGACATTACTCTTATTTCTGTTGCAGCCAACTGTGGTGGGTGCAATACTGTGCATCACCATGGACATAAATAATTAAATTAGGAACCGTGTGTGGTAAAAAATCCCATTCTCAGATCTAGCAGAGAAATCAGACACGTTTTTCACGATGTTCATTATGAGCACAGACTGAAGTTTTAAATCTATATGGAAGTCCATTTCCAGTTATCAAAATAAAAGGGGATATTGCATGTGTCTCTGAGTATGCTATTGTTTTCCTAGTAGAAATATTGCTTAATGTAGAAAGGATGCTATAGTATTGAATTTACTTGCATAATGAACCCTAAATGCTGATGTCTCAGATTCTACGAAAATAAACAAACCATAGGTTTTCCTTCTTCCACCCCCCACCCTGCTCCCAGCCAAAGGACTCTCCTTCCCACAGAGGATTCATTTACACACAACACAGCTTTTAATTAGAAGCATAATTTACAGTAAAAATTTTTTACATTACACCTCTGCTATCAAAAAACCATGAAATCTTTCATTTAAAGTTGTAATTACACATTAAAAAATAGAACACTATTTCCTTAACAGGAAGAATGAATTTGAACATCTTCAGATCAGATTTCTTTATTGCGGCTTTTGAGTCAAAGGTCAGTCACTTTATTCTCTAATGCAGCTGCTATTTGCTGTAAACGGAAGGCAAGCTGCATTTTTTGTGCAGCTGGATCCTCTTCAAGTGCATTTATAATCTGGAAGAAATAAACACAGAATGTTTAGAATCATTTAGCTGAAAATATATGATGTGGTTCCCGGACCACGTGCTTGATACTACTTTGGTTGTAAAAAGTCTTTTGCATTCATTCTGGACCAAAGATAAAGTCCATCTAGTAGGTCCCATGTTCTGTTTTTACACAAAGGCAATTGAAATTATTGTCTCTGTTACTTTATCTAAGTTGCTGTAATGTTTCCCATTATGCTGGGTTCCAAGCAAATTAATAGGTAGTATTTTATCTTGTGATATATTACATTCCAAGATGGAGCAGGCAGGGGAAAAAATGTCTTTACAGCTATTTAAGAAACAGTGCTTTTACTTACAGTGCACCCTTACAAAGCTTAAGGGTCATTTATGAGCAGTAATTAAGCCCTATCCCCATAAGCTTTGTTTATGAGAAGTTCCTGGGTGGTCCATGCACAGGTATAAGGTAAGGCAACACCAGGTCTCTTGTCTATAGGCAATAGGATGAAGAAAACCATCTGGCCACAGCACCAGGGAGCTGCCAGCAGCTTCCCTTTGGCTCTCACCAAGAACTGCCAAGACTCTGACCCAGCACCACAATGCTCAGGAAGCAGAGCTCACCATAGGAGCCCCCAGCACCCTGCATGCAGACTCTGCTGTGTGGAACATATATAGGAAGGTATGACTCAAAAACACAGGGGATTTGAAAACAAGAGCTAGAAAATGTCTGTTATGAGAAGGCTTTTCTTCAAATAGAAATTTTTTAGGACATCTCAAGATAAAATTTCAAAGATTTCAAAAGATTTTAATTTCCACAATCCTTTAGGGAAACTTTTCCACCAACTATTAGACTTCTCCATTAAAAGAATGTGTTACATGGCAAAACAGCTGCTTTTCCAGAACTGGCTTTATTAATAAAAGTCAGACACTGTAATCAAGCAGAAACCTTTAGCTCTGCTTAAATACTGTATAAACTTGAAAGTACAAAAGGTGGAGAAACAGCATTTGCTCATCACTACCTGTGGTTCCCACTACTTCTTGCACATCATTAACAATGGAGATTAATGCAGTCAGTATCAATCTAGCCAATAATTTCACTTTGAAGGGCTGGTATAACATTTGACTTTCAAACACTGGAGCAAATTTGTTTAGAAATAATTATTTTAATGAATTTGTTTTTAAAGCATGAAAACATTTTTACAAGACAGAGTTAATAAACACTTATTGCAGTATTTAAATTAGGCTTAATTTAATTTGATATTGCTCCCTTAATTTAAACAATTACATCTAGCTGTAACACCTCAGATCTAGACTAAATAATTCATTATTATCTCTGCTGGTGAATACATCCTTCATATAAATGTGGACAATTAGAATGTACCCACTTAGTCATTGTCAAGCCCTGCAGAGATGCAGAAGGTACAGCACATGCTGGGAAACACTGTGTCAGTAATAAAGACAAGGGCAGCTGCAAAATGTTCCAATTTATGCAAATTAAAACATTTTCATGGAAAATAAATAAGCTTGATTAATTTTAGTGAATGGTTCTTGACAGATTATCCCCATAACTCTGAGTTAGCAGTGTTTGCACCTTGTTGTTATACAGTGATGTATGTGAAAGGAGGAGCTCCAGCTACACACTGGGTTTGCTGGCCTGCCACTGGTGAAGTCCTACAGATTGGTGACAACAAAAGAGGCTACACTTGTGCCTGCCAGGAAATGTGAAACCATGAGTGGAAGCAAGCGACATGGGAGTGTGGAATGGTTCATTTGTCATCCAGGCTCCCCGAGTGTTTCTGTAAGAGGTCAGGCCACAGATACATTTGGGAACGCATTGAAAGCCAGCTTGGTTAGTGCTGGGGATGAGAGGAGAGGAAACCAACACCATCAAGTTGGCCTGTGTTCCTCTGGCTGCTTCCCCTACAGACTCTGGTGGCAAGACCTCTCAGGGTGATTTGATTTTCTTTGCTTGTATCTGTTTTGAAACTGCCACAGGCTGGCTGCTCCTGTATAAAGCAGCTGCAGTGAAGCTGAGGATGAGACTCACTGCCTTTAGTGCTAAATGTAAGTGAAAACATGAACTGTGCTGAGGTGCAAGACAAACTGAAGAGAGCTCACATGTGCTGCACTCCTTTTTGATTCAGCATCTGTTCTTACTTGCTTTGATTCAATTCTGATAGTTTTCTGGAGGCATTAATTTCCATGGAAACCATTGAATAAAAGTTTCCTTCTCTCTTTTTGTTTTCAGATTAAGTTTGGAGAGCCATAGCCACAGCCCAGCTACACTGGGATATTCTTTGTCTCCCTTTCCACAGGGCATGAAGAACCTAAGAAATGTTTTGGACTGAATCTGTGAGCCTCCTTTTGAATCAGGCAACTCTACTTTGGTTTACCTTGGGCAGGCACTTCTTTTGGCATGGCAAAACAGGGAAGGTAGCATGCATGGGAGTTTTGAGTGCGACTTAACTAATAAAAAAGGCACAGCATCATTCCTACAAGCAAAACAAGTTTAATGGATTGCTTCTAGTAAAAAACCCACTGGTTTGAAACCTAATATAGCTCTGGTGACTGCTTTTTGCTCAGTGACATTCTTATGTCCTAATTCTTAGGAATTAGGATGTGAGAACTGAAGAGAAATTATTTTTAAATCAATGTATCTTCCAGATCTCCTTAAACTATCACTTCCAAAACTAGATAGCCCATAATGAAATTATTCATTTACAAGAACACACCTTTGACCAGTGTAATTGTCAAGCAAGGTGTATAACTGCAAAGTTAAGAGCTTTCTGTTCAGCACTGTTTACCTGATTATCCATGGGATTCCAGTTGTTCCTTTAGACTGATGTCTTCTTAACTTTTTATCATTGAAGTTATTTTAAAACAAAAACAAAAGCAAAAGCCTCAACTCACCTCATCATAGTATTTGTTAGTGTACTGGTAGAGTTGGTGCAGAGCCACAAGTGTGTTTAAGGAATCGGTATGTGCCTGTTAAACAAGACAAGTGAGCAACAAACATGTCACAGTATGATCACAGACAACTGGAAGTTATGCAGATGCATAACTGTTGGATAAAATACACAAGATTTCCAAATGCAAGCTCTGCATCCTCTTTTGTTAAATTACAGTTAAAACTTTAATTTGGTGATCAAGACCAAGACTTTCCTGATGGCGTCTTTCCAGCCTGTCCACGACACTGGAGCTGAAAAATATTTTTAACTCTGACCATCAAACTACAGACTACAGCTCAAAAATCTGTTAAGAACGTGGGTGTGTAGGTGTGTATAACTAAAGCAGCTATTTGGTACAATCTACATGTTGTTGAGATATTAAGCATTGGTTCTGTGTCACTGTCATGGCTGTTTGGCATCTTTCTCCAGCTCTTTTTAACTCTTTGAAATTATGCACACCTCACTAGGGCAAAGGTGTAACTTATCAAGATCACAAGCACATTTGGAAAAAGCCATCTGAATCATTAAGGTGGAAAGGGGAGAGAGAGAGGGAGAGAAAAAGGACTTTAGATGAAGCAGGAAATAACCCTTTCATTACCCTTTCCTCCCTCGTCCATGGTATTTAACTCATTTAGTGAATGTGCTCTACCTGGCTGAACAGATGTTTTGCATTCAGATGTATAGGATTCATATCTCTAGCCATGCCTTTGGTCTTTTAAGTTAGTTAAGAAAATGAAGAACTGCAAAATATTGCTACTGGCATAAATGATTACCCAAGACATAAAACAGGAGAGAAACATTCATCTTTCCTTGCTCAATAAAAGTCACTTCTAGAGATGGTCAAAATTTGCAATGTTTGATCACTCCTTCCATATTAACTTTTACCATAATTTATAACTCAAACAGAAAAGATCAACTTCTTCTGCTTATGTTAAAACATTCTTATGAATTTACTTTTAATCATTAAATGTTTTAATTTTATATACATCTCAATTTGTGTAATAAATAAACTGAACCGGAAAATGAAATGTCACTGCAGGTGAGTTTTGTAGTGAATGGCTGAAAGCAGAAATGCTCTCATGAGGATGTTGACCTGCAAAATGTTAAGTCCTAAGGGCACTGAAATAAACAAACCACAAAAAATTCTCCAAACATCCTCCTTACGCTAGAACTCTTCAACTAAATTAAGCAAATCAGCAAACCAGCTAGTAAGTACACTGAGTCTTTGCTCAGGCTATACAACATCTTTTAAGACTGGTGAGGGCTTCTCCTTGTTCTCCAAATGGAGTGCTTTGAAGGCACAAGCCTGCTCTAGCTAAGCTAAGCTGCAGAGTGCGAAGGCTCTTTCAAGACTGAAGCAGGTTTTTGCAGTGTCTTTGCTCCGCTGGTCTCCAACCAGAGCCCCAATCTAGAAACCCCTATCTGCTCTTCTCCATGAGAAGTAACACCCAATAACCTGTAATGTGAAACAGAAAAAGTGCCACTGAGCAACTACATGGTGAGCTTCTGACATGCAGTGTAATATATACCCTCATATAGGATATATTTAATGTACGTGCCTCTCCTTTCATTTCTGGAATCTAATTTTTGCTGTGGTAGCACTCTGAATTCAGTCATTTTTCTATCAGTGTGAGCAATGTTAAAAATCCTTTATCTACTGTGGAGGGAAAACACTGTTCAAGAGTGCTATAATGTTTTCACAGTGGATGTGAAAAAGTCTGAACACTTTGCTCTGGCACCTACATCACTCAGATAGATTAGTGATTATAACCTTTCTTGGCTCCTTTCAATAATCAGCATTTCAAAGGGCTAAAAGGCATCATGACACTAAGCACTACGTTTCAGAGACATATGAGATAACTCATATGATGTTTGCACATACAAAAAAAAACAACACTGAGAAAGAGAAGATAAACAGTGCTATTATACTTGGCTCCAATTTCAGGACAAGAAAGCAGAATTTATTCTTACCCTAGAAATCTCTGCTAGATGGGTATTCATGTCTTGGTCACTAACTGGCACCATCTGACGAATGCCTTTGTAGTAACTGCAACAAATGGAACAAAAATTTCAATTAGGTGAAATACACTCTGGTTTTCTGGTAATTCTGTATTTCAATATTGTAATTATTTTAAACATGCTTCCTAATAATGTAGGAGATGCTATACCACAACAGACCAACGAGTCATTCAGTAATAATCCTGCCTCCCAGCAGTAGTTAGTACTCGATAACCTTTGCAGCAGAGGCAAATCTCACCTGATTGTACAGGGCTAAACCACAGGAAAGAAATCTATTTATAATTATAGCTGATGGTTATTTTAAGACTTCAAACTTTTGAAGTCATCAGCTAGCAAGAGTTTTGTTCTGTAGCAGACCTTCCAAAGTATTCACAGAATGGCTAATTAGTAAATGAATAAAGTCAGAAATGGAATAGGAAAAAAAAAAAGTGTTTGTGAAAACGTTTTCAGGATTTGATCTCTACTGAGTTATGGAAATGCAGCATCAGTTGGACAGATCATATGGGTAACAAGAACCATCACAGAAAAGAGCACTGTATTTTCTCCTGAATAAATCTATCCATCTGTCTGCACAGACACAAGTATGCACTGGCTCATAACGGCGCTCCATTTCATCCCTGTCAACGCCACCACCAGGGGAATGTTTTAACATTCAGGTGTAAAATTTTTAACATTTGACAGTTGATTACCTCAGCATTTGCTTTCCTCTTACATAGGCTTAAAGTCCTAACAACTCCACATAAGCATGAAAAGAGTCTGTACTTACTCTTCCACCATTTTCTTATAGTTGGAGATTTCTTTTGCGTACAGTAATTTATTACTTGGGGAATCCTGAAAAATTTATAATAGAAAAATTTGGTTGATTTATGAATATCTCTAAGTAAAAAAAAAATGTTAAGAACTTAAGATAAAGTGTTTATATTCACATGCACTTGATCTTTGCAGAAATGAACACTTGGATGATTATTAACAGTGGTGGGAGTACTTGGCCATTTAACAGGATGATGTCTACACATGGCATTACTGTTGAGTTTTACAAATATATCAATGCAAGATGATACTAAATTACTGGTGGACATGAAATAATCCATTCTTGAATGTGCTTTTTATAGAAGCAGTTTCTGTTTCTTCCTTTTGATAAATATCAGTTGACAGACTACACAGTAACACTGACATGTTCACCAACCTGTTAAGTGGTGAGAAGCTAACTTCATTATAAAACTGAAAAGAAACTATCAAGGCTGTATCTCCTCAGAGAATGGGTATTGTCTATGAGGATGCCCTTTGTCTTGTCAGGCATGACCGTAGTCAGGATGTAGAATGCAAATCACTTACTCTGCTTAATTTGTGCTCTGTTCTTGTGCAAGCATCCATGAAAGTCTGTGCAATGACTGACAAGGAAGCATCGACTACTTCGTGAACATGAACATCAAAGATGAAATGGGGATTTTTCAATATGTTTACCCAGAATCTAAGAGGCAGGCTGCAAAGCAAGGAAAAAGACAGATAAACCTTTCAACACAATAAATGTTCTACAAAAAACAAATCAGATGAAATGAACTACTAGTTTTGCATTTTGATCTCCTCACAACAGTAAATCTTAATTTTAATTTCAACATTTATACAAGCTCTTGGTTGGTTGGTTTCCACATCTGAAAACCAGGGCTTTACATCTCTCACCAAAAAACCTCATATGAGAAGAATCTCAACTGCCCTAAAACCACAAGAGAAGATGTCTGTGTGGTTAGAGAAATTACCCAAGTAGTATTTTGTTAGATTTTGTGCTTTGACAGGTAAATCTAGACCCATTTGCCTCTTGCTTTCCTCTTCTGAGGAAAGACTAAAAGTAAAGTGGCAAATCTGCCAATGACAACCAGGGAGGCTGTTTTCATTTTTGTAGCTTCTACATTTACTGGGAACACTTTTGATCATTTAAATATATTATCTCAATTAAAGTGATTCTGAGAATTATAAATAAAATTTGCTTTGATTTGTGTTAAGGGTGTCAGTATGGACCTCGGAATTACCTTCCCATTACAAGTATTACTTTGTTCATACTGTACCTGTTTGTTTTCCAGATGTGAATGGTATCTTCATCCTTGATGTCATGTTTTTCTGCTTGCTCATCAAGGAAGTCAAAGAAGTATTTCACAGCTGGCGGAACCACGTGGTTTGAGTTGAGTACACTATGAAAGAAGTTATCTACAAACTGCTGAAGTGTCCCCTAAAAGCAAATTTTAAAAAAAATCTATTACATTTGTCTTACAGCCTGAACTTGGTGCCATCCTAGAGTATTTTATTCCTACTGACACTAACAGCTCATAATCCAGTTGCAGTCACTGATGGCCTTCATCCTGAGAGCTAAAGACACTGGGTGAGAAAAAACAATCAACTTCTTAGTGCAGCAACCTTGCAAACTACCCACACAGTAAAGACCTTCTAGAGAACAATTTTATGTTCTAGCCTGAAAGGTTGTGACTTCACCATCTATTCTATGGCTTGCACAGAAAGGTATGCTTTCTGCTTGACAGAAAGAGCAGAAACTGGTCTGGCCCAGCTCCATCAGCCCCACTGAGTCCAAGGGCTGAAGTGTCCCAGGAGGGCTGCATGCTTGGTTGGATTCCTGAATCTGCTTGGACCCTAGAGACTGCAAGCTTAGAGACTGTCTCCTTCTAGTTGACCCTACAGACATGTTTGAAGGGCTGCATCCTCTCTCTCAATGTCATGCCAGCTGCCAGTGCTACAGCAGGGCAGGGACTGAGAAGGCAAGGAGCCCTGAGCCACTCTGCTGTCAACAATGACACATTGACAGTCCTTGGGTTGTAGAAGTAGCTGTGGTCCCAGCCATCACACCTCCCAGCTCTGTAAGAGTTAGCAAAGTTGTGACTGGTAATAATCTCTAAACTGGCTACTGGGAATAGAAAAGGGACAGTTGCATCTTGCTGGCTCTTCATCCCAGATCTGTGTCCTCTATACACAGACTTTTCTTCACATGGCTTTAGCTGGAGGCAGATCACCCTCATTTTCACAAGGAGCCTGGCTTTAAGGTCATTAAACACATCCTAAATTATTTCTGGAAGGAGGAATGTTTCACAAAATTATTTTGATTGTGATCCATTCTGCAGTATAAGCACTGAAAATACTCTAAAAGGATTATTATTTAAAAACATTTTATTTACTTTTCTAGATTATACCACAGCATGGGTCACAAACAAGACAAGGGAAATATAAGGCTCTGTAGCAGTTTATAAGGCATTTGGTTCACAAGAAAAGCCAACAAAATATTACCTAAACAGATGGCACAGAGGAGAAATCTGTCTTTGTCTTGCAAGAAAAATCCTTATTTAAAGAACACACAAGCATGGTTTGCAGGTTTGATTCGGAGTTACACTTTATCTCTTTCCCAGTAATGTTCCTCAGGGCATATTTGTTATGTACAGCCCTGTACATCAGCTTGTATGTACATGTCACATGTTTAAAATTGCAGCCAAATGCTGCAATGACTAATAGCTGCAATTTTCTTAAGTTGCATCTCAAAATCTATAGATGTAGGGTGTAACAGTGGCACAGCTGAGCCCTACCTTCACAGAGAGAAGTCTGGTCAGGTAGATTTCTGTAATAGCTTTGGTCCTCTCTTTTTCTTTCACACTGCCCCGCTTCGATTTACCTTCATCTATTTCATCTACTGGCCGGACTAGATGCCAGACCTTATTTTCATCTTCCAGGAGTGCATGTCCTAGAAACAGTAATTGCAATAATTACAAAAAATGCCCTGTACCCAAATCATGAAAACCCAACCTCCAAAAAATACTCATATACCTAAGTACATATGAGATCCTTCTTCTCTGTCCTTAACTTACCTTTTCTCTGCTGAAGATGATCTAGATTGCTCTGTTCCTGTCCAATATATATAACTCAAGTGCTAAATGTTCAATACCACCTAAGTTGAAAAGCAGCACTGAAGTAGAATTGTGGCTTGCTTTTGTCAAGTGCAAAAGGAGAGAAAGAAATCACACAAGAAATAAAGTCTTGTTTGGTCATGTAAGCACAGTGTGTGTATTTTTTTGAGGTCTGCACAGCAAAATACTCTAGCCCTTTTTGTATTCTTGGAGACTTGTTTAAGTACAGAAATACAGCTAGATCTGAACCAGCCACAAAAGGGGCAATCGTAGCCTACTCCATGTATAGGGCAAGACACGGTTGCAGCAGCACTGCAGAACTTGGCAGTGTCACTTTAAGAATTTGGTATGAACCTTTTTTCTAGGCATCATCATCACAATGTACATTTTTACCCTAACTGCTGAATTAAACGTATGGTACCTCAGTTCAGATCTGCCTTTATCAGCATTTGATGAGTACCACTTGACTTTGTAGCCAAAAGGAAGAAAAAAACCCCCAATTGTTAAGAGGATGTGAGCTCCATCTGACAGATGTAATGACTGCAGAGAGCTCATAATCCATTATAATAAGATTTGAAAAAAATTAATAGTATTCATAGCTTAAACCAGAGAAAGAAACATACACCAAGTCTGTTACCATATAGCAGAAACAGGAGTAAGCTCCTAGATGCTTATGACAGCTCATCTGGTTATGGTGCCTGGCTATGCACCTGGTCCCTAAGCTTAGTTCAATGATCATGCAGTGCAATAAAGGGAGTCTTGCATTTCAGCATCAACATGAATGCTCAGACACTCTACGCTTGAGAATCTTTTGTTGTGAACAGTTCTAAAAGAGACCATACAATTGTTTTAACTTGCAAGTAATATCTCTTGAAAAAAATACTCTGTGTCACAAACTCAGTTTCAAATCTCTTGATTTTGCTTGTTCTTCCTTTAATTTCTGAAGTTTGTATCTATTTGGCATTGTCCCTAAAACCAGTGGCTCTTTTCCAGTGGAAGTTACAAAATCTGTGCATTTAAAATAATTGACGTCTTTGTGAAAGTTATTTTTCCCATAAAAATTGTGATTCAGCCCTACTGCACAAATAATTCTATATTAATGCTAAGTTTTATGCTTTAATGTATGTATGTAATGTAACTGAATCCCAGTTACAGCAAAAAATACCACTTTCTAATTGGATGAATTTTGTCCTTCCAAATTTTTGGCCATTGTAGTTTAAGTTCCTCAACAGCTACATTAAATTTACCAGCTTGCATGTATGTTCAATATTTTACATCATGGGGAAGATTGTATTTATACATCATCTGGCCAAACCAACACTTCTGCTTGAATCCACTTTATATATCCTCATGAAAAGCATTAGCTATGCTGTCTTCTGGGGCCTTCACCTCTTTTTAACCAGGCAGGGGAAAAAAATTTAAAATCTCACATGAAATCACATCGTCCTTTGAGAGTCCTTGATTTGACTTGGAAGTTCAAGTGAATGAAGCAAGCAAGAAAAGCTATCACTTCATTTTGAAGCAGCTGTGATTTTGCAGTTGATACCATTCACAGCAATTACCTGCCAGTACAGTAAGAACTACTGGTGGTCCTGAAGTTTGGAATTCCTTTTGCAATGTCTGTTGTTTACTTTTGTAAATTAAGAGATCAAATCACGCAGTTAGAGCTGAATCTACTTTCCAGCCTTATGCCAGTCACTTGGTACACTTCTGCTTCCTCCTTTTTATTCAAAGGAATTTATCCTCTCTTTGTCCTCCTGATGGTGTATAGCCCAGTTTAACTTTGGGGAGAAGAGAAATAACCAAAGGTGTTTCCACTGAGATTACTGGCCCTTGTGTGCAGCCTAATTTGGCCTGTGCTTGTTTAGCAACAACAGAATTGGCTCCTAGTGAAGCTACAGTTATTTAATAGGAATTCAGAGACTATAGCTCAACCCGATGAACTTTTGCAATACAAAGATCCCACTTCATGGCTAAAAATAGCAGGAAGAAAGAGGAAGGGAAATTCAGAACATGAGGAACAAAACTTGTTGGTAATACAGCTTCTAAGACAAAAGAACATTCCCATGAGATAGTATTTTCCCCAATGGAAAAGCAGGAGGTGAAGAAAAGATAGCGGAAATTACTTAATTTTTTATTGCAGTAACCACATTATGCGTCAAGCCATATGTGGAGAGAAGACTATGCCCACTGGGTCAAATGCTTTCCCCCAAACTCCTTGTCTTGGCCCTTGGGCATCCTTTGGCCAACATAAAATATTGCTGGGGGGGTCAGTGCCAAATATTGGCTGTGCTGCCTAATTATAGTGGGATGAAACATGATGTAAACATGATGGAGGCAAGTGAGACGGTGACAGGCAGCACAGCCCCTTTTGCCTTATGTGGCCTGCAGCACTTTAGCTTCCTTCCAGTTTCCTCCCCTCTGTGAACACAGTTTTCCATGAAGGTGCTAATCAAGCCTCTGTTCTTTAACCCTCTGGCTATTTTTATTCAGAATTAAAAGAAACCAAACAAAACAAAAACACAAAACAGAGAAAAAACCCATAATAATAGAATGTGTTGTTTTGGCTTATAGTTCAGTACCGAAATACTAGCATGAAACCACTGAAACCATTCTCCACCTTGATACAAATTAGAAATTGCATTTATTATCTCCAGAAGCTGCATTTAATTTCTAACAACCTCAAGCTTGCAGTGTCTTCCTGTTAGAAGCTGTGAATCAAAAGCAGCATGGAAGCAATGCCAGGTTTTAAAGCAACAGCTCTGAACATGGTTTTACATTTTCGTTCTGTGCAAAGCTTAGTACTTTGGCAGACAGTCAATGGCTTCAGTTGACACTTCTCAATGCAAAAGGTGCAAGTTAATGAAAGACTCTGGATAAAAGGATAACCACTTCGTCACAAGCCTCATTCATAGAGCTGAGACAGGATTTCTGTTTATTCAAGCCCTGCAAATCCCTAGGTCATATAAATGTGGATGTGTGGGAGGGGAAGCCTCTGATCCTCTCCTCTCCCTTTTATACACATAGCATCTCACAAATCACTCTCACGGAGGGCTCTTGCTCTGTGCTACCTTTGTAACATTTTATAGCTTTCCAAAAGAACAAGGTGGCACCAGATAGCTCTGAAGACCCTTTGGCACTAAAGAAAATGTGTGATAGCTCTGTCCCCAGGAGTCTGCTTTTCCTTTACAATTTAGTATGCCACATGTATAACTAAGGAGTTAATCTTGGAGTACAGATCATGTATGTTCAAAGCACTTCATCATACTGAATCATAGCCAAAGATTAGTAGGGGAGGAAAGAAAACAAAACAGAACAAAAAACAACACAAAAAGAAAACTGCATGGTTTGGTTCTCTACTGCTTGTCATAGGTTAACGAGGCAGGGAGGATGAGGACTAGAGTCCAGGACAGGAGAATGAACACCACTCTGTGTTAAAAAAGCCAAGCAAGCAAAGGACACCACCAGGCTCCACTCATGGTCCACTCTAGTGGTCTCTGGAGGTGTCCACTGCCTCAGCAGTTATGTCAGCAATTGGTGCAACCAAACTGAACAGGGACTAGGAATCAGCTCCTTGCCTGGCTGCACTTCACTGCCTTTGATATTGAACCCAATAGCTTTTTGTGTTAACTTGCTGAATTGGCACTTGCTATGACAGAGTAGTCACCACTTGGCCAACTATGTCAGGCACCTGAAGTAAAGGGGTAAGAGGGCAGCAGCAGAGGTGTAGCCTTGACCACTATAAGACCCTTCAAGGATGCTAGAAAAAGTCTCATCAGAAAGCATCCAGGAGGAGAGAGTAAAAAGTAAATGGCAAGTAATTCTGCCTGTCCCAATTTCCTGGCCAGCACTCAACACAGATGAAATGGAAGCATGCACATTTTTGTTAAAGAGCGATACACATCAGAGCTATCAGCTGAGAGCCATTTCCTTGAAAAATATACATTTCTGGCATATCATTTCCAATCTGTTTGACTGCCCAGCCCTTGAAACCTAATGAGTTTAAGATCAGTAAATCTATTTAAAGGAATGAAACTATTAGGCTTTTGCAATCAGTGCTGGACAGAAAAGCATTTCAAATGAGCTCATAGAAGGAAGAATGATCTCAACAATTATCATTCTATAAATCTAACTTCTACCTCGTGTAAAATAATTGAATAAAAGGATTTTAAAAAAGGAGAAACTGAGCATCTGAAATACAAGGGAAACAGGTGACAAAGAACATAAATTTTCAAGTAAATATTTCAATAAAAATCCAAGTGCATTTTAGATTATAATGGATAGCATGTCTCAAGAACTCTTGTAATAAAGGAAATTTGTCTAGACAGAACACTAACATGTAGAAGTAAAAGTTGTAAAAGATGGCTTGCAAGCTAACAAGTTGTCCTCCATGATGAGAAGTCCAGTATACTGCAGCAGACAGCAATACTAAAATTATGCATCACTAGTGATGTGAAAGAGAGAAAACATTATAAGGAAATTCCTGACACTAACTTACAGTGGATTGCAAACCTCAAAAAGCACAAAGGAATTGTGGAAAATGCTGTATCTAAAGAGATATTGTGTATGGAATGAACAAAGCCAACCAACAAATCCTGGAAAAAACAAGCTAGCATAGCTGGTGAAACATCACTCAAAAGGAGGGAGACACAAAATATGAATGCACAGAGATGGGTCTGCAAGGCAACATAGTTGCAAGAAATGCAATAACAAAAATTACATCAGATCCATTATGTCACAGAGAGGGAAGCTGCTCTGTTCTGTGTCTCATCTTGAATACTGCATTCAATTCTAGTCTAATAAGAAGTGGAAGAAATCTGGAGAGGAGTATAAGGAAGGAGAAAAAGAGATAAAGCTTTGGAAAGATGAAACATACTGTTTGACTAATACAGAATTAGAAACAAAATATGCCAGATGTTTGCTGAGAGTGCTTTCTATTAAGGCTTTTATAATGACTACAAAGAAAACCATTGCAACTGTGCAGCAGGTAATACACACAAATAAGCCCTATATAGTCTGGTGGGGAATATCTAGCTCCACAGACATGCTCAATAAACAAGATCAGGACAGCAGTGATGCTCTCTCTGGGTGGGTTTTGACTTCTAGTAATTCTGGAAGGCAGTGAAGCCACAAGATACTTACTTTCCCCTGGGACGTCTTGTTGATTATCCTCTGGCTGCTGGGAAACTCCCATTTTTGATAAGATGAGTGTGGCACCATCTCGTACCTTTGAAAATGCAAAAACAGGGACGTTATCTGAAAGAAGTATGTGCTAATGAACCTCTTTCTTAATGCCTAAACTGCAGTTGCTGTAATTTCTGTCAGGGAAACTGGACCTATGATGGATGCTGCTCTTCAAAGGCTTCTTGGGCAACTGGCACTGCAATTCAAAACAGACTCCCTCCCCCTCCTTTAATAAGAGATCACATCAACACCTCCTTGGAGACTACTGAAAATGCTAAAAGCATCTCCAAGACTTCAGGGGTTCCTCAATCTGGTGTGGGCACTTTTTGTAAAAAATAGTCTTTCTAATGAAAAATTGGACCTTTCTGTTTTCTGAGGGAAAACTGACTAACTTCTATCTTTCCTAATCAGGATATCTGTTGTTAGAAAGCAATAAAGAGGATACAAAGGGAAGATAAGTGGATTGCAAATACTTGTTAGAGTGCACAGTGTGAAACCTAAAACAGACAGTACAAAAAGGTCAACATCTGGTCTCCTGACTGGGCTGTTGAACAAACCAGACCAACCCAAAATCTATTTAGCAGCAGAGAAAGGACAAAGACAATTCTCAGGGGTAGGAAGTGGTAGGGAAAAGAAGAGATGCATAAAAGGAACTTTTGAATGTTCAAAGGGGAATTTGGATTTGGACATTGCAACGATGCCATCCCTGGAGGATTATGGCCAAGTTGGATGAGGTTTTATGCAACCAGGTCTACTGGTAGGGTTTCCTGGTCATGGCAGGGGGGTTGGAACTTGATGATCTTTAAGGCCTTTCCAACCTTAATGAATCTATGATGAGGAAATCAAAGTGCTGACATCTGCCTGATAAGTTTTTGGTAAGATGTTGAGGCAATATGTATAGACCTAGCCTTTCAGGCTCCCAAGTTGTTACTGCCTAGGCCCAGAGGTAGAGGGTTTTTTTTATTCTTTATGTAGCACAGAGGTCTCTATATATATAAAAAAAGATTTAATTTATTACTAGAGAACAGTTAACAGATGCAAACAACCACTTTGAAACACCTCCTTACATTATAATGCATTAGTGTGTTGATACGTTTCCATCTGCCATCTCTTTGGGATGTTAAATCCAAGTCTGAGAGGATCTGTGCAGTAGAACCTGGACGCCACTCTGAGGGGTAATTAAAATGAGAAAAATACAGTTTTTAACCATGTGTAAAAATAACTACTCCAAGAATGTTTCAGTTTAGAGACCCACTGATACTCCACTGTGGAGTATTAAAAAAAGTAATTTGGCACGTGCCGTGATGCATTTTTTATTGCTTGATAGTTTGGCCTTTATTAGAGAAGTTTGCCTGAATTATCTCTAACCATGCACATGACTTCTGATTATTTTCCATAGAAAGTTATATTAATTTGCACAGAATGCTATAAAAATATAGAATAAGAACTGTTATCAGTCCAAAATAGAGAAGGACTTTATATGGAATAGAAAAGGCATTTTTAAGGAATTTACTAAGACTTTCTAGAGGCCAAGAATTGCATCCTCTACTTTCAGATTCAGGCAGTCATGAAGATATTGCAAAACTATTACTTGGAGCTTTTATTAGGAGATTATTAGGCCTTTTAAGTTACATTTGTTTGGTTTTTTTTCCCCCTCAAGAAGAGAAGGGCAATATTGAAAGCCTTCAAACAGGATGATTTTCAGAGGCTGGGTAGCTTATCATCTCCTAAAAGTACAGCTCCTGTAAGTTCTAATTCTTTGCATAACCATCATAAAGGTAAGTCAAAATCAGTTTTTATGAAATTGCATCATTACTTCTCCATCAGTTAATTGTCTATGCTGTCATTATCATGTTAATTAGTACCTGAATACCCCTTCAGACATGAATACATTTGTGGTAACAGTCATTAACAGGCTCTTCACACACTAGTGACAGTACACCAAAACTTTTAAGAGTCAAGGAAAAGAACTCTGTAAGAAAGCTTTCATTTTTAATGCATATTAAGATTGCTCAAAATGCTGTATTTTTGCATCCAGATGAACACGAATTAAACATTTTATTAAAAAAAAAACCCAAAACACCCCCCCCTCCACCCCATATATATTTATTTTATAAACATTTTTTCAGGAAAATAGAAAATCACAGAACATGTTTCATCTGCTTAATACAGTATCACAAGTAGCTACTTACCAAGAACTACACTCTCAGCTTTTGGCCACTGAGAACATGGCAGATTTCGATAGACTTGGTCTATTATCTTTTCCTTTACTTGTGATATAGTATCACAGTTCAACACTTTCACAGGTATGGAATCAGCTCCTCCATCTTGTACATACACATTTACTGTCTGTGATTAAAAGAATGCATGTGGTTATTAAAACAAATCTGTGCTGAATTACCTCTGAATCAGTTTCTCTGGGCTATTTTAATGCAAACTGTCTAAAAATCAATGTGCAATGATAATTGGACAGCAGCACATATTTGCAGTATGCATTCTGTGAGGGATCTTCCACTGTATGGCAGACAACCAGCTATCATAAATTCCAGCTACTTTCTCCCACTATGACAAAATAGAAAAGATTCACTGATGTTTGATATGGTACTATTACTGACTCATGGGAAATTATTAGAGACACACAAGAACAAAGCAGCTGGACCACTGACTAGTTACATGCTTCTCACATAGCCTGATTACCTGGAACACAGAAGTGCACAAGTAATGCATGAGTTCCCAATGATCATTTGAGGTGCACTTTGCTGAACTCCTAGAATGTTATGTGCTTTTGCCTTCCCATACAATGTTTTCATGGCTGTGGTTTTACATATGGTGATTTAACATGACTCAACTAACAAACAGTGGCTTGTTCAGCCTCCGTAACTCCACCTCCTGTGACCAGCTGTTCATTAGATATATATAAATATACACATACACACATATGTATATGCCATTTATATAATCATTGGTGTTTGAAGACTTCAATTACTGCTTTCTGTTGTAACAGTAACTCTGATAGCTCCAGGAAATCTACCTAAGCAGTTTATGGTAGTTCTAAAATAGTGCTGTTTTCTGACAGTATTGACATGGGGTTTTTAATTTTAAAGGGAATTTCTTGAAAGCCTATAATTTGGTAAATCTAGAGTGATTTTTTAAATTTTTTTTTTGAAGTAGCTTTGCTATGTAAATGTCACTTTTAATACAGACAAAAGCAAATGAGTAAATGATGGCCAGGAAAGATCTCCAGAAGGAAAAAAAAACAAACCAACAACCTACCAAAATCAAATAGCTATTACTAAAAGCCTCTTTCTTTCACTAGCTGAATCAATACAACAGCTCAGAGCCCTTGTGGATCTTCTACCAGTCAGGTAGCTTTGGAGGCCAGGCACATCCAAAGCATCACAGCTCTCAGATACATATGGTCCTGCCAACCAGAATGCCTGAATTTATCATCTCAAACCTCAGAAATAAACCTGCATGGCTGGTATTTTTAAACAGTGAAGAAAAGCTATGCCATACGGCAGTCAAATTAAACATGATTGCACTGTCCCTTGACAGAACTCTCAAACTAATCATGAGATTTCACCTTCCTTTTCCTATTAGCTTTATGGTAATTAGACATGATTTTGCTGCCGGTTCAGTATGCAGCATGTCAGTATAACCAGCGATGTAAAACAGATTCATCTTTTAAATAAGAACAATTAGAGAGCAGACAACTACTCTATACTACACTTTCCCAACATGTCTCACTTTCAGGCAGAAGTGAACTAATTAACTCATGCTTTAACCTACCTTGGTGCACAAATGCTCCCTAATGATTCAGTTACCAGAACAATGTCATCATCATGCCAAAGATCCCAATAATTTACAGCAATAGTAAACCTCTTCATAATCTTTCTTCAAACATACAGATATACACGTATCTCATCATCTTCCATGCATGGACACACTTAAAATAATTGTTTGATGGGAAATTTGTAGATCTGGACCAAATACTGTCATGTAACTACAACGTTATAATGTTTAATATCTAGCTAGTATGCTTGTTGTGCCCACATTTGATTGCATACACAAATTTTCTGCTTTCACACTGTATTGATTTAGCTTAAATGCAGACATTGTTTTGTTGGGGTTTTTTGTTTGTTTGTTTTTGTGGGTTTTTTTTTGTAAAAAGAAACAGACCAAACAAAGAATTATTGCCATTAAGTCCTACGTGATGCACAGTGCAAGTAAATTTTGTTCTCCATATGCAAGAGAAAATAGAACTAGCGTTGCCAGTCACTGTGGTTTCTATGGGTGGCACTTTCAGCTCAGACATGAAGATAACAATTCAACTAATTCTCAAAATATCAAATGAACTTAAAATATTTCTTCTTGCCCAGCACACTCCTTTCCTCTAGGCAGCCTAGGTCACAGTCTAGTGATTCTGTGAGTGAAAGTCCTGCAGCACTCTCCTTGCATCAGCCCTCCCATCAGGATCCCTTCAAAATACACAAAGTGGTGATTTTTTTTTCTTTAATTGTTGTTTTTTTTTTTTTTTTTTTTTTTTTTACCAGGACTTAGTAAAGTTTTTTATTAAGTTTATTTTTCTACACTGCAGATATAACACTGCATCTTTCTCAGTAGGAGGCAACCAGAAATGGCTGCTAACATGTCAATAAAAGAGAAATCAGAGAGGGAAAAAATAATCCTGTGTTGATCTCTGAAGGACAGTCAGTGCATCTTTGACATTCATTATATTGTATCCTGTAGAAAACCTGCAAGACCGTCAGGAAGAGTGAAACTAGAATTTACCCTCCCATAACAGCTAAAGACAGGGCTGCTTCAGCTTTTTAGAAAAACAGTAAATCTGTGTGCTGGAGTCTGGTTGAAAAAGTGCTGGAATTTTGTGGTATTTAACAGAATTAAGTCAAAGTAGAATTCATAAGAGAACTGCACTATGACATTAGTGATGAGATTCAGGAGGTGGTGGAGCTCTGATGGGGAACACCAGGGAAAGGGATGTCCACTTTATCCCACTTGAAGCATCCAACATGGGTCTCCTGAACAGCCTGTAGAGGCAGCTTCCCCATATCACTGTAGGGAATTTATGTGGAAATAAACCTCTTTCATTGCTAGTTGGGCAGCCCATATTCAGGAGAGTTTGACTCATGCAGGAACAAGTGCAGAAATAGGTTCTTAAAGTATTTTGGAGATTGCAGAGCCAACTCACAGGACTGTAGAGGAGCTCATCCTGGAATACTAATAAAAAGATCTCTAAAATTATGTTTGACATGCTGATGAGCAGCAATCATAAGGGAGAAAGGTAACCCAAAGTTCAGGAATAACGTTAGTGCAAGAATTCTGCAAAAATCAATTGCAAGTTAATTTAGATGGGAAAAGGGAAGGAGCCAAACACCCTGACCACTGTTCAGACAGACTCTGAAAACTATGAGAGAGATTTACTGAAATGGATTCCACAGCAGCAGGACTTGGACTTAACACTTGGAAGATACTTTATAATTCCGTTTTCCTGCTTGGAGACTTGCTGTGGTCAAACTATTGACACTTCTGCCTGCAACCAGAATTTCTATTCAGATCACAGTAGTCCAGAAAAGCATGTACAGACTTCAGACTGCAGGACTTAATTTTAGAAGAAAAAAATATGTTATAATATATTAACAATGCTCCACTTACCAACTGTGTATACTCTACATCATCTCCCAGTAAGCCTGTGTCATTCAGTGTATACTTGGCCTTCTTTAGTACAGCATCCACTGGGCCTTTTTCTACCTGGTGTTTGATAGCTTTAAACAATTTATAAAGAGGCTCCCCAGCATTGTCCTGTTTAAAGGAAAGGAAATGAAATACAGTAAAATGTATCCTCAATGCAGCATGTTTAAGTATTACTGATAAAAAACCCCACAGACAATAGACTTCAACTCTTACCTTGAGGTACTGATATAAACAAATAGACATCCAGTTAGACAACATTCTCTCAACAACTGTTTCAGATCTGAAAAAAAACCAACACAACCATGAGTGTGGTAAGGATACTTAATGACAGAGTTTTAAAGAAAAACATTGCTTGCTTAAAATATAATATTTTCACATGCTTAACTGCATGCACTCTCCTAGTGCAATGATTTCCCTATAGAACCTTGAGAGCATGTACTTGCTTTAGGATAAGTACTTTGTATTGCTCATCATTCCTGGGTACCTTCAGCTCATTACTGAAAAGCACGCATCCCTTCTGCAATATCTTAAATTGGGTCTGTGCTGTTAGACCTAAAAAATTAACCCAGTTGTGCAGTTACTGGGAAATAACCTTCAGACTGCAAAGCTACAACACATACAGAGCAAGGTCTTTTGTAATTTATTTGGGATAACAAACAAGGTTAAAACACTAGAGAAAGCCCTCACTGAATGCACAATGCAAGCTGATTATGTATGCTCATTACAGAGATGATGTGTGGTATAAATGCTAGATCATTTGGAATAAAATTAGATTAAAAAGTAAATTAAATGTTTGGTATTGTATTTTGAAGTAAGGCAGATGTTTCAGTAATCTCAATGCAGATTCTACACTACAGTATTTGGATAAGGAAATCTTTTGCCAGCAGTCCTGCCTGTGCCTTCTACAGCTGTTCTTGGTCAGCTTGTCTTCCTAGTATGCTTGGGCCAGGCTATTTTTTACTTTTAGGGATCGTTGGCATTTTAATAAAGTCATGTGGCAGATGAAATACATTTACAGAAAACCAGAGAACTACAGAAAATATAACAATCATTCAAACCTTCTTAGCATCAGCTTTGGATTTTTGGCCACAACATACTGCTCCATGAGTTCTAAGAACAGTGTCCTCATGATGTCTGTATAGTATTCTAGTTTTCCATGTAAAGCAACTGTCAGTAAAGATGCAAAATAGACTTTAGCTCGAGCAGAGAACTCCCTTTGGTTTTCCAGTGTGTGAATAAACTGAAACAGAAAACAAATGTAAAATCAAGTCAGATGACAGGTTTCTGAAGAACCTCAACACTTTTCTGCACTAAGAAGACAAGCAATATTATTTTAATATTAATCAAAGCACAGAATGGAAAAGTTTTCAGAAGTTTGAAAAAAACTATTTATAAGAAAATGTTGCCTATATATTTTTTTAGATACACAATGTATTGGACAAACCCAAGGAATGCTGATATACTTTAACTGAAGCCTTATATAAAAAGGATGCTTTAATTAAATGAAAAAAAAGTCTTCTGTGACAATTTTTTAAGAGAGAAAATCAACTCCCATCTCCCTCAAATTCCCAGTCCTTTCACATCAAATTACAAAGACACTAATCTAAGTACACCTGGGAATGCGTGCTCATCTGCCATAAACCGTAATGCTGCCATTAACTAGCTCAGCACTGGAGCCTCATTTAAAAAAAGAGAACAAGATAGAAGCCTAAATCTATATTTAGGTGCCTGACAATCAGCCTCAGTTTTTGAGAGTGAGCAATTAGAAGTCTCTTCCGAGCTGCTGTGAGCACTCTTCAGTCTTGATGAATAGGCCACTTGAGGAGTACTCTGCCTCTCTGGGACAGAGATCCAGCAGATGGCTGCCTGCAAGTGATTCCTGTGATGAACCAGGATGGAATCAACATTCTCCAGTCATGTTTCTTAAAAGGCTAAAACAAAGTTGTAGCAGCATTTTTTTTATGCCAGTTTGGCAATGTGTGATTTCCCACAGCCACTGCAATGTTGACTAACTCCATACTATGTGACCTGGCACAAAAATATGATCTTGTCTCTCCATTCCACCAGGAAAGCTCTGGCTGTGATGACTGCAGTGGTTGCTGTGGAACCAGAGCCATATGAAAATAACTTATTTTTATTAATTTTGGCTCAGCTGTGCTTACAAACCTACTGTCTTGTACACACTAGCTAAGAGATAGAGTAAAACAACTTCAGTACTCACATTGATGAGAAATGATTTGCTATTGAGGAGGTTGGAGAACTGGTTCAAAGCCTGCTCCACAGTCTGCCGCCTGGCCTCAGGAATATCCAGCTTCCCTGTAATCATCACATCTTTCTCTCCGTCTTTGGATGGCAAGAAGAAGACTCTGTCTGTGTAGGTTTTGTAGTCCAGTACTGGAATTCCCGCTTCATTGATATCATTTGTCTGATCCTCCATCTCTATCATTAGATCTGGAATATGCAATACAGTTTAAAGGCTTATTTTAAAAAAGCCTGCAGCTTTTTAAGGCACCATGATCTCTTTGGGTGCCTTGTAATAGAGAAAAAGCAACTCAACACCAAAAATTCTATTATTTCATCTTACATTTTCTCTTGCTTTTTTTACCCATGATCCTGTTAACTATGACCACAGCTAATCCTGTGGTGACAGGACAACTGCCTTTAGTACATAAGATTTTCTTGTTGCTACCTACCTGAAAAAGGGCATTAATGGATGTCTGGGGAAGTTAATATACACAAATGTAGGATTGTAGCATAGAGCACTGCAATACTGTTTTCTTGTTTGTTGTTGTGTTTGTTTTTTTTAAATGTGTATTCTCTTTCCTTTGACTCTAGGTAGTAATAAAAGTTCTTTTAAAAAACACAGAGCAATTGAGGAAAAAAGATTTATGTGTAAACCTGCCAATTTAATTGGAAGGAAGGGGATAGTAGGAAGAAGGTGGTTAAATGTTTCATTGAGATTGACAGAAACGCTTCTGTGGGACTCAAGAGCTTCTGAAGTTCTTAAAAGGAACAACGAAGGGAAACATCTCTTGGAGCAGCTATTCTAGTTGAAGGCTTTCCAATTACTCAATATTGCTGACTGACTGGAATACCATCTTAATTAATATAGAGACCTATTGTCAGAGCAATTTTGTTACTCCTATTGATTCATTTTTTAATAGGATGAGGCAAAGCTGAGGGAGAAAGTGTCTTGTGCTTTCCAGTTTCATGGTACTTGTAATTCCTCCCTGATGTCCATTTCCTTGCCTATCTTTGGTCCCATGTATTTTAGACTGCCTGCACTTGGTGCTGTTGACATGACAGTTTCACAGTATGGATCCAGAACGTGTTGATTTGTGTTTCATTTGAACTGTCAGCCAAGGTGGATGTGGCTTAGGAACTGGATTACTCCTTGGATGTGCATTCTACTTCCCCAGCCTTTGTGCTTGGTGGACCTGAGGAAACCTTCAACCCAACATGTAGCAGGAGCCTGTAGCTCACTACTAGGACTGTCAGCAAGATAAAGGAAAGTTCTCCTTTCAGAAATTAGTATGAAGTTCCATGAGTTCCATGAGAGAGGTGGCAAAGAGGCTGTTAACCTTGATTGATCTTCTCACAGTTCAAAATGCAGTTTGAAATGAAGCCCATCTGGGAATAGTTCTGGATTCAAACATTTGCTTTGGTTTGTGTCCAGAACCTGGAAGGAGTCAGTTTTCCAGAGAAAGCAAACTGGTACAAGAACAGAACATACTGTCCCAGAAATACCAGAAAAACAGGACTGGGAAAGCCTTCCAGCATGGCCAAAATCAGTCAGAAACCCCAAGCTTCTTAAATTAATTTCAAACTCTACCCTGAAATTGCTGTTTTTTTCAATCCTGTTTTTTAGCCACTGTCAATATGAGATAATCTATGTCTCTTTAGAAATAATACATGTAGTTTGTTTTTACTTTTTTAGTAGAGATTATTTCAACATGACCCAACAGCAAGTATAATTCAGATAATGACGTTTCATGGTCATATTACCATGAGATTTCACGGTAATAATTTAGGCCAATATTTGCAATGTTTGCACTCAGATGTCTAATTCAAGCCTTGCAATGAGTAGTTCAAACATGTAGAAATGCTGAGCTTTTGCACCTCATGCTGCTTTCCTTGGGATGATGCCTCTACATTTACACAGACCAATTAGCTAGTTCCTCAAATCAAGCCTAAGGTTTTCCCAGGATAAACAGGGCAAAATGCTACTTCTTTCCTGTGAGTTTTCCAGATTATCCCTTTGTATGTTGATTGCTGCAAATAAATTTTGCAGCTCTGAAAACAGTTTTTAGTGTGCATACTTGGCACATACTGTCATTGTGCTAAATACTAAGTGCACAGTCAGCCACTATATAACGTTCTTTCTTCTGTATCAATGGTCACTCACATTAATGGTTTAACCCCAATCTCAACTAGTTTCTATTTCCCAGTTGCTAACTCTGTGCTTCCTTTCAACTAAATCTATCCATTCCCTTTAATAACCTCAGCTCCCTGTTTTATTTACGGCTTTCATATATAACAGCAAAATATCTTTTGTATGTCAATGTCAGTGATCACGACTACTAAGACTGACTAATTATTTGTTCCCAGAAAACAGTTTCAACAAGTTGAAACAATTGCTCCAGCCCAACTTCTGATTGCTCAAGTGAACCCATGGGAGTGCAAATATCTGCTGTACCTGTGAATTCCTTCTTGCACCGGTCTCTGACACTCTCCTCCAGGCCTTCAAGTTGTGATTTAATTTTTTCATACTCTCGTTCTGCTTGTTGGCTCTTGCGTCTTTAAGGAACAGAGGTAAGTTTTTATAAGAAAATACAAACTGCAAAAGTAAATAATTTGCAACAGCTCTGAGGGGGAAGCCAAAGGACTGGAGGACATTTTACTGGTTTTGATTTATTTTTAAACACTGGCAGCAGAAACAGAGATGAGGAGAACAGCAACAGTGGACCAGGCCTTCATTCTGTGTAAATCAACCTGGCACCATGACAGGTCTGCTGCTTCAAAACACACTTGGGCCAGTGATTTAAGATCCAATAAGCAGTAGCTACAAATGCTTTCAATCACATATAATCAGAGAGTCAATTTGTATGTACTGAACAAAGGACTGCTTGTGACATGTCCTGCACTGGCTCTGAGACACTCAGTGTGTTTCGGACCAAACTGAGAAGGCTGCAAGAGGACCACGAGAACATTAGTGGTGTACAGCACGTCCTTCAGCATTTCTTCGCTATATTGATAGGCACCATAAGAGTAGAATCCAACCCCTCCTAAGGGAGAGTATGAGCCCCTCATTACTAACCTTAAAATGGGGCTAAGTAGGTCTTACATGTAATACAGACATTGTTCTGGCCCTTTGTGAACCCTAAATTTCATCATTAACCATGAAATTTGTGTGTGGGGAACACTTATCTCAGCCAGAAAGGCCAAAATGACCCCTCAGCCAAATTTGTCAGTGTAAATGCTGATGGATAGGTATACAGAACTAGCTATCTCCTTCACAAGAGGCACTTGAGCTGCCATTTCAAGAATGTATGTGTGCAACTCAGTTTGCAGTTGTGTGCTTGAGCAAGCCTGGGACCAATTGTTGTGCTTATGTATAAAGGACGGGCTGGGCTGACAGACACCAAGGAATTTGGTGTGTGCGAGAGGAATAAATTGGTGCTCATACATATTTCCAGCTCTAACTGCCTTTCTTGACTTTGCAGCTCTTAAAAAAGACAAAGATAATTTCTGTAGACAGAGCAGAAAACAACCAGGTAATACCTTGAAAGATTTAGGACATCAAAACCCCATAATTTAAGGAACTTACCTGTAACAGATGATAGAAATGATGATGATTCCTATCATAGGAATAAGTACAAGTGGCAATATAAGATTCAGTGGGATGTCACTCACACGTGTATCATATTCCACCCTTCCAAGGATCCATTCCCGGAGTCCAAATTTCACCTAATTAGATAATCACAGACATCTGCCTCAAAAACTGTAAATCAACAGTGCTTTACTTCTCAGTTGCACTCTGAATTCTTAGTAATTCTCAAAATAAGTGAATTTCTGCCTCAAACTGCCAAACAAAGGAAATATTTCTTAATATTTTATACTGAATTTAGGTCACTAGGACTTTATTTCATTAAGTAGTTTTATTTTGCTTACCAGAGTAAGAAAAATCCCCAGCCTGTCTAGCTACAATTTTACATTCCTATGTCATGAAGGCAGAAGGCATTTGGCAGCCTGGGACCTCTCTCTATGCGTGACCTTTTCTAGACAGCAAGTAGAAGGTGGAGGAAGAAAGAACTGTAAGGAGTTTCTTCATGGCACTACAACGACTTTGGGAAACAAATTACTTTAAATAAGAAGCACTGTATCAGTGTCACTTGCACATGATAATAAAGTCTATTAAAAAGGTAACTTACAATGAATTCAGGAAGGTTATTGATGGTATCTCTCTTCTGTCGTTTCTTTGGTTGAGGCTGTACTTCTGGTGGCTCACAATATAAGTCCGTTTCAGTTAGTGTTTTTATGATGCAAGGCTCATCACCCACAAAAGCCTGGGCCTCGTCTATTGTCATGGCTTTGTTCAGGTGCCTGCCCTAGACAGAAGATAAAAGGCTAAGTCATCATCACAAAGTCTTGGGAGACAGGAAGTCCTGAGTTGCAGCTCTCCATGTGGATAATTTTTAGCAGCAGTGTACAGAAGAGCTGAGTGTTTGGGAATTATGCAATTCCCCCCTTTCCTTCCAGGGCTGAGAAGAGATGTCCCATTCAGACCTTGGGAGCTCTCTGGCAAAGGGCATTTCCTGCATCAGCAGGAGAGAGCATCCCCAGGAAACCTGAAGGCTATGAAGATAGCAACGATCTCTGAGAAGGGGAGGGAGAAGGAAAGGGGAGCTGGCAATGTTCGTCATGTAGCAGAGGTAAGGGACTCTACCAAACATTTGGAGTATGGTACCAAAAAGCTGTTAATGGTTCAAGAAAGGAAGCAAAAGTTCCATACAAGCTTCAAGGACAAAATGAGTAACTGCCATCTCGTGAAGTTTACCTTCGCATTAATAAGTTTATTGACTTGTTTTTTGATGCCATCTGTGAAGTTTTCAAATGTTGGGTCTGCAACATAGGCAAAAGAGTGGCTCTCATTTTTCACAACCAAACTATAATGATCCATTAGAATAATAGTGGTAATGTTATAGTTTTCTGGGTCTTCCAGTATTGGTGGGGAAGAAAAAACCACTGTGGTTTCATTGAGTCTTCTAACAAGCTCTCCTTCAAACTGTAGGAAACAAGAAGAACAAGCACATTTTAGAGTTTGACTCATTCCTGTACATAACAGTTGGCAATTTTAGACTGTAGAAATAAGGCCACTGGATTTATGTCTTTTCCATATGGCAAAAATAACTTTCTGAAAATAAAATTAAAGATGGGAATAAATTGTTGATTCGTTATGTTCTAGCCGCTTCCAGCAGAAAAAGCTTAAGCTACAGATCACTTTCCATTGCCTCCAAATTCTGTCTCTCTAGACTAAACTGGGATAATATTATTAAATTGTTCTAAGATTAAGAAGTTAACATGGCAGCTTTAATCCAGGTCATCTTCTTTACCATTAAGTATCTTGGGCAGATTCTTCTCTACCAACACTGTAAAATACCCTTCTGATATACAATACAATTACTAAGTGAAATTTTGGATTTAAATTTACCAACTGTGAATCAACTACTTAAGGTAACAACTCAGTTAACCTGTCTTCCATCCCCTATTACACAACTGCTTTTATCATAGAAACCTTTTCAGTCATTCAGTGACATCAACCACAGACAACAAACCTAATAAGAACCTGCAATATTTCTTCTATCACCACTTTGGTTTCTCACTTTGAAAAATGCAATTTGGTAGCTTCTCCTCCATATTTCTGATATTGCCATATAACTGGAAGTGAAGCAAAAGTTTAGAATACTTTCTAGTCTTAACCAAGAATGTATGCTGTATGTAATGCCAAGAAAGGGGCTAAGAAATCTTGATGAACACCATCAAGAATGCTTAACAGACTTTAAGATTGTTGTGGGAGTTAAGTTTATCACAATAGTTATATCTCGCAGTTTTTCTCTTCAAATTCTTTAAGGATAGGGTTCTGATGGACTCAAATACAGCTGGCTCTGGCATACTCTGAAAGTTGAATCATGCATATAATACAAAACATGCACATTACCAACTCTGTATGGATCACGAGACAGTCTTAAATTGAAGAGCCAGCCTTAAAAAAAAATCTTACGATATCCTTACTGAAAGACCACTCTTATGTCTTCAATCATTGCATTAAATTGTGATCTTCAGTAGAAAAGTAGAAAATTGAGACTACTGGTAATGTCAAGTTCTTCTTTACATGAGATGCAGGAATGGTTTGTTGTTTGGTTGGGTTTTTTTAACAGTTTTTCACAACTTTTTGTGAACATGCAATAGGTGAAATATGCATGACGCAAAAAAGAAAAGAAGACTTGGTTCACTGAGGTGTGAGAAAATAAAAGGCACTGACTGTGCAAAGCTGAGCACTCAGCACTGTCTGAATTTGGGTCCTGTTTCAGGCAAATCTCTCATGCTTGCAGCAGGAGAAGAAGGAGAAAGATAAAGAAAAAAGAAACACTTTCAAATTCTGAAATACATCCACTTTACCACTCAAACCTTAATTCTTCTATTCTTATATTGAATGAAAATCATTCCAAAGCAGAAGACTGCAAGGTACAAGTGAATCTCAGTCAAGATGCTAGGAGTAGGCTCTTCCATAGAAACCCTGAACAGATCCAGAAATCTGTTCAAACTTTATTCCACTCCAAGCCCAGTCAAGTCCAGTGGGCAAACTTAAATGCATTTTCCTCACAGATTATGTGCTATACATGCAGTGTGATACCATTAGGGGGAAAGAAAGAAAATTACCATTTTGAGATTTGTTTTCCCTCCTTCTGGATGCTCTGCATACACCACCAAGGAGAAACTCTGGATGATCTGAAAACCAGTTCCAGTTACTGTGATATTCCTCCCTCCGCTGAAAGGCAGAATTAAAAAAGAAATCAAATCATTGGCAAACTACCACAGCTATAGACGGCTTTATCCTGCTTTGCTCCTGCTACTGAAAACAGCTATGTAATGCCTAAATGACAATAAGATGTCCTACACAAGAGACCTGTGTTAAAGCTATAGATGATCACATCATTTAAAAGCAGCAATATGATCTTCAAACCCATTTTAAAACAGCAGAACAAAAAAATACAAATTGCTTTATCAGTATTTGTGGCTTTTTGTTGCTACCTATCTTTGTGTGCTTTAGTCCTCCAGTGTTTTTGTTAAAGCACTCCACCTACCACACACAAAGAGACAAAGATGAGACTCTCTTTTCCACAGGTCTGTAGGAACTTGGCTTCTCTATTCTCTTTCATTTGCAACACAATGTTTAAAAAATAATGCATTTGCATAAGAAGAATGTATGTAAGTGGCCAGTGGGAATTAAAGTCATCGAAGTAACATGGATTGAGAGGGTTAGAAATCCTCAAAGCAATCCATTCAAGTAAGCTTTAGTTTATATACATGAAAAAAAAAGAAGTCATTTAAATCCCCTGGGTTAAATCACTACTGATCTACCAAAAAAACCCTCCAGGCACCAAAACCACCCAAACCAAAAATCAAAAGCAAATATTAAAAACAAATCCTGTTTTACATAAATGACTACTCTATATTCAAGGAGAAAGGTACCAATTTCTCCAAGAGGCTTCATAGCCCATTTTATTTTTAATGTCCTATTTGGAAGATCATGATGTTATACCTGTTTTTACTGAAAGAAAGTGGAAACATGATCTCTCTCTGCCAACAGAACCCTAATAGGCAGAAAGACCAGAATTTTAGGGAAAAGTAGAGACCAGCGTGAATCAAGGTCACAAGTTTGTCCCTGTATCTGTTACAAGAATTACTTTCAAAACTAGAGGTATGTTACAAGGACTTTTATACAGATGATTTGCCATATTGCTACAAATGTAAGAGTAGCATATATTTCTTTAATTTCACAACTACTATTAGGTGAGCTTTTTTCCAGAAAGAACAGCAACCAAAGGTATGTTTGTGAGTACCATCATTGAGGAGAGCATGCCTTTTAAAATCATTATTGTACCTTGACCTAGATTTCCTAAAAAGATAATTTTTTTCCTTATAGGACAAAAAGATGTCAAGCCACAACTTCTCCCTGTTTCCAGCATACTTATGAAAAGCTGAATAGAAGAATCGTTAGAGACCTTTTCGTCAGACACCTTTTATATAGGTTATCCTTATAGGATAAGGATTTGTAAGTAATGTTGGCCCTTCATCATGCTGAAACACTTCAAATTTATTTATTTGAGACGCTTCATTTAAAAGAAGCTCATTACCTTTTCTGGTTTCAGGATTTACCTTTGAAGTGGGGATTAAAGGTTGGAGACAAACAGAATACCTCCAAACATCAGCTGAGGTTAAAAAGATCACAAATGATGTATCAAAATTTGTGCATGGCTAGAGTACAGGAGTTTTTATTTTAAACAGTTCTATATGTAATAGGTTTATGACATATTACACATTTTAACCCACTTATAAAAGTTATGACAAGCATTTCATTACCTGCTGAAGCTATTTACTGGCAGGAACTTGGTGACAGTAGGATTCTCACTGTATGAAAATTGCTGTGGTACAGTAATTGCTGTGCCCCCATAGTCCATTGTGACTTGAACAAGTTCTACCTTGCTGTTAGATCCTGTAATGCAAACAATCTCATCTCCAAATTCAGTGCTAGATTGGAGAAGAACAAGAAGAGGAAACATCTGCAGTTAGTAACATTACAGTGATTTGTATTCTTTACTGAGGTGCCCCAGAGGCAAAAATCCAGGGCTCTATTTTTTCTAGGCACTAGGTAGTTATGAGAGGAGACAACACTTTGTTCAGATCACTTTGGGTCTTTTAAATATATAAAGGATAGTATACAGACAACAATAATTCAATGTCAGCGCACTTCATGTCATTCCTGGCTTTGGGGGAAGAGAAGGGCAGCAATTAATAAAAGGGAAAAGAATAGGCCAGAACAAGCCAAGGGCCACTAGAAGATTAAGATTTTATATGGAACTACTGAGGAAAGCATGGGTGGGTTTGGAGCAGCCAGTCAAGCAGAGAAAGCCAAAACTAGGAAAATCTTTGGCTATCTGAGTTCTCCCACTTCGGTTGTTTTCATAACTGCTTCTTCCAGCTGGATCCTCTGAGTGAGTTTCTGTCTGAACATTACGTGCAGAGCTATATTGCATAGGATGAGTCACAAAGAGTCAGACAATGGATTTGTTTAATTTCTACAGGCCAGAAAAGGCTGATGCTTTGTTAGGATACAGCTCTGTATTCTTAGTTACTCAGGGTACGTACACATTGCAAGGCTGGCTACCGACTGAAACTCGAACGTCCTTCTTGGAACCAGTGGCCAGGTTTGTACCAGTGATGGTAAGTGTGGTTCCACCTGCCTGTGGACCACTTTTAGGGCTGATTTGAGAAGGATGAGGTTTCTGCAAAGAGGAGATGGTCAAACTAATTAGGAGAATTAAAATAAAATTTGCAGCGGTATTAATTGGTATAATAGTTTATAGAAGTTTAACATTATCTACATGAAAAGTAACAAAATTTAAATAATTATGGACATTTCTAAAAAATAAAACAAAATATTTAATTATTTATTCTGAAGGAAGAAGTAACAGATGATGTGAATGTGCTTATATTTTTTCCATATTTCCTGTATTTTACAAGGCTTTATATGACTTCCAGTTCCCTACTTACAAAATGTAGAGTTAGCTGCCATTAAGTTTGTGAGAGCTTCCTGTTGGATTTCCTGTTTTCCTACTTATTTTAAGATTTCTCTCTTCCTTATGGCTGAGTTTATCTTCACCTTTCCTTACGCTTTCCTACATTCTGCATCAGCTACAGGAAAGACAGGGTAAGGTTTTAAAAACTGGTGCTGACCAGAAAGAATACTAAGATTTCTTTTATCTTTTAAAGCTCTCTTAATTGAGGTAAAATCATTATCCTTCTCTCGAGTAGTAAGCTAGCAAAGAAAGAAAACACTGAAGTTTCCTTTATGCATCTAGAATCTTGCAGATTTCTTAAAATGAATTGAAACAAGCAGACACACTTCAAATTGTTATTAAATTTGTTGGATATTTAAATTTCTCAAGTAAGTTCCCTCCTTTTGTTCTCAATTCAGTTTTTGTTTCCATGATTGCATTCCGGGAGCAATGACAAACAACTGTAAATTAACACTGAGGGCTCTTCATGAACTGTGTGATTTGATTACTTCATCACTAATTACTCCCTGCTTCCAGTTGAGAAAAGCATCCTTAGTTAGGACAAGACTGCTGAATCAAGAGGATGACCAAAGCCGTGCAAACTGCATGAGATGGCTTCAGCTGGCTCCACAGCCTGGCCGTGCCCGCCAACGTGCCACAGGCCTTGCCCCAAGACAGCAGGTTTGTGCAGGCTGGTGGCACAGAGGTCCCATACACCCAGTTGCCACGTGCACCATGCACATGAGCAAGATGCCAGGCCCAAGCATAGGGCAGGGGCATTGCTGTGAAGGAACCTGCATTTGCTAAAGCATACCAGAACAGCTCAGGGAGGCTCTGAATAGGTAATGCCTTTTCTGATGCATAACTGTGCTTCTTCAGCCATATTAAAACACCAGCTTTCCTTAAATAAGTCAAGCAATAAGTATATTCCCAGTCTTGTGTATTTGTAAATGACATCTGCTCTCCTCCTCTTGTATAACCTTGATAAAATGGTTGGCTGATAATAAAAGCTAGGCTTGGGGCTATTCCTTCTGAAGCATATGCAAATAAACATGTTTGAAAACTTTCCTTGCTGATGAGGGTGTCCCTGATCACCACCACTCTGCACTGATCTCCTACACTAAGGAGGAAAAGCCCTGTGCAGAAACAGAGAGTAACAAGCCCACACCTTACTAGTCATGCAGCAAAAAGCTTTCCCCTGTGTCGTTTTGCTCAGGCATGGGCTGTCATCTCTGTGACAGCTTACAGCTATAAAATGGAGGGCCCAAAAATGGCAGCAAGGAGGAGGACCAATGTACTGCATTTTGGTTCAAAGCTTGGTCAGCCATCGACAGGTTTTTAACAAGCAGC